TCTTTATGTTTGAAGCCTGAAATGTGGCAAAAGGTTGAAAAGTTCAAGGGGGCCGAATACTTTCGCAAGGCACTGTATATTTTATGTACACGTATATTTTGTATACACAAACAGAAAGTACTGTACATATATTTCTTTAAGATTAGGGTTAGTATTTGGGTTTGGTTTATTATTAACATATCTGTACCTTTAATAATCTTATATCTTTACATTTAATGTTGTTAGAAACAATTACAATAAAGTGTTATAAATGTTGCTCATAAACTAAGGTTTTGTAAGGAATATGCCCCTGCACATAACAGGGATCTTGGCCGCCTGGGCTGACGAAGGTCTTCTTTAGCTCATCTGGCAAGACCCCTGTTGAGCGACATTGGAGACCCGCGTTTCACACCCACATGGTGGAGGGACGAACTGGGGTGGGAGTGGCGAGGGCACAGGCCCAGAGAACCCGAATCCATTACAGTTTCATACAAGTTACATACGTATGCAAATAATGCATAAAGCAATTAATTTGTTTTTTTATTTTACTCTATATAAAGTTTTCAGAGCTTGAAATGCGTAAATAACTTACATCATAGGCACCTTGAATTAGAGATACGATGTTACTGGAGTCACTTGATAGCACACCAACTGCAGACTTTGGAATCATTGTGCTTAGGTCCTATGAGTATAAGAGTAATGCATTAATAGATAATTAAACCACAATTTCTGTTCCCTTCACACATTTGGAGATTGGAGAAACCATAATAAACCTAATTCTGAAAAACCTAATGTACTGCATCAAAACAAATTCTGAAGACGTTCAATGATGAATATCCTAGTGAAGCTGCTTTCTAATAGAGATTCTTTGTATTATAAATACATGTGAATGTTTTTAGCAGAGCCATTAAGCTTTCATTTCGAATTGTTGTTTAGACAGAATCAATTGAACATGTTAAAATTACAGTAGATAGGTTTTGACTTTACATTTTAGCAAAACAGGGAGTATTTTTGGACATATTATGCAGAAAATTCACTGGAGTTTAAATAGTAAAAAAAAGTTATACCTTATATACATTTTGTACATTATCTGTCACTGCAAAAATGGGCTGGATGTTATTCTCTGATAATTTCTGCGCCAGCTGCCCAACAGAAGGGTAGTCCTAAAAAACAAAATAAAATAAACAATTTCCATTATTCAAGGGAAATTTGTATCTTATTGATCCAAGGGTCTCATCCAGCTGTTTTGCGAAAGAAGCCAGGGTATCAGCTTCCAAAATAGGTCTGGGTAGCTTGTTCCATATTCCCATAGCCCTTATATATGTATAATGAATACTTGTAATATACAAAGGTAACTGTAAAAGCTATCTGAAAAGTATAAGTATAAGTATCCTAGGAGTGTGGCTAGTATACTAGAAGTTATACATATAACCATTTTCTAACCTCTTTGCCCAAAACAGGGTGGTGGGGGAACCAGAGTCTATACTGGTTGCCAACAGGCTTAATGCAGAATACACCCTGGACAGACACCAGTCTGTCACAGGGCACAAATAGACGCAAACACATTCACACCAGTGTCAAATTTTCCCAGAAGCCAATTAACCTACAAGGTCTTTGGACTTGTGGGAGAAAACCAACACAAATATAGGAAGAACATACAATTACCACATAGATTGCACCCTAGGAATTCAACCCAGGACCACAGCATTGCGAGACATCAATGCTAACCACCAAGCCACCGTGCAACCCATAACTTATATGGTAAAGCAAAATGCAGAATATGGACATCTTTAGCAAACAAGGAGTAGAACAGTAACATATGGCACTGTGCTTGAAAAATGAACATGTAGCACTAAAACAAAAATCCCTGTGATGTGAACCTCTTGTGTAAGGATACAGACAGTGCTGGAGTACTGGTGATGAAAGACCAGAGAAGGCATTAGAAGCATCTCAGAATCTGAAGTAATGAGGTAAGTTTCACTACAGGATGTTTAACCACAGAAAGATACGGGAGGTCAGTGCAATGTCAAAGCATGCAGAATCTGGAGGGAGGGGTTGGGGCAGGGTACAATTAGGGTGAAAGTGTTGGCTAAAAACAAGAATGACAGGGAAGGGAGCAGTTCTGGGGAGAACTCAGGTTGAAAATCAGGCTGAAAAGTGACACACAGAAAAGTCGACAGCTTGAAATGAACAGAATGCTTTGGAAAGAGGGGAGCAAAGACATGATGTGAGAGATATGTTGTGTAGAAGCAAGAAAAACTAACTTTAGGAGAGGTGCTGCAATATATGTTGAACAGTTTCAAAGACTGTGTAAAAAAGGGCTACCATAGAACCCCAAAATCAATGCACAGCAGTGGCACCATCTTGAGAGAAGGAAGGCTTTTGAAGTTTACTGTAGCTTCTTTACTAACCGTAATAGACCTAATTCTTAAAAAGCTAACATACTGCATCAAAACAAATTCTGTACTGCAGCTGCATTCTAGTAGAGTTCTTTTTATTAAAAATGTTGGAATGTTTTTATCTCCGTCTTATTTTCTGTTTTCAATATTAATGTATAAACATAATTTATGAGACTCTACTTATTTTGTTTTCATAGTAATCCTGATATAGATTTTTGAAAATGAAAAACGCACCAGTTCATCACTTTTGGTGTAGCGATTATTCTCCAAATGACATTTCCCATCATTCGGGGTAAGAATGGCACCAAGTTTCCCATCACCAGCCATATGGAATCCAGCATCAGAGGCGTAGACCAGAAGGCGGGTATTATTCCCCCAGCCAATCTTATCCTGTAATTCAGACAAATCAGGTTTCTCTTTAGTGGCCTCAAAGGTAATTTAAAGCAGTAAATCCATACACCAAAAAACTCTGAAGTCTGAAAATACTGAAGTATACCGAGATGCCTGAAGTACATAAAAGCACTTCATACTTTCAGCTAAAAACTTTTCTTCATCAGCCAAAATTCACTGGCTGTTGAAATTAAAACTTTGAGGCCCTGCAAGCTGAAAAATAAAATAATTGTCGTTTAAAAACAGAAGGTTCTCAGATCTTTTAAAATGGTTACATACAATCTTTAAGATTACATGCTAAGGAAAAGTCCAAGATAAAAGATCTTTAAATCTGTGCTGAGTTGTTTTTTTATATACAAGACCCTTCTAACATTGACTGGCAAGAAATTAAGAGTGGGAGTCCCCTCAGTTAATACTCAGTAGGTACAGAAGATACAAAAATGGGAATGCCAATTGTAATGTAGGAAACATTATCAAATTATTGAATGCAACTACAGTATATAGAGCTTTAATCATTGTTTATTACCTTATCCTAGGCAGTTATACAGTAAATGCCTCATTTCAGAAGTTTTTGATTTTATTTAAAGTAAACCTGATCTTGTGTTAATATGATCTTGTGTAACTGTTAAGTGAAATTGTTCCTCTGTATCTTTTTTTTTGCCATATTGACCTCTTTGTTGTCTGAAGTTGTCTTCTTCAGGAACTGGCCAGACCCATTCGGAGAGCTAATATCGATCAAAGAAACATACCCCACAGACTGCAGCTTGCATGATAGCGTCCAGGCCTCCCTCAGGTATGTCAAGGTTTCCTGAGATGAACTGCCGCGATACTTCCTGATTAAAACGATTTTCATCACTTGTCAGGCTCAGCACATGTTTATAGCCAAATGCTGGCTGACATGACAGTTCCTCTTGGGGGCATGGTTTCTTGAGTTTCTCTGGGTTGGTATTTGTGTATGGTAGAACAGTCTTGTCCACAAAAGATCCAAACCCTAAACAATGGATTAATATTGGTAGTTTATTTTTCAAAATAAATATTTTTAACCAGAGCTTTTCAGCAGTTAAACCAATTGACATCATTCGTTTTAGTATTTGTATGAACAACTCATTAAAAATAAAAGAGTAGGACCTGCAGTGAAGTAACAGGTGCATCACATGTTGTAACATTTTCACTACTCTTTTGATTAGAGTAGTCAACTCTCTGTTAAATTATAGTCAATAAGTCCAGTTTTAAAATTTTATCAAAGACCCACAATTATTTGTGTGAAACAGAACCTCCTGAACTCAGTTTTAAACCCTATTGCTGCTTGTTGTTCTCTTAACTGACTCCACAAAATCTTTTTTATAATGTAGAGTTCTAAGGATAAGTTTGATTATTCAGTCTCAGTGTTATATAAACATTTATGTTTTGTTATCTGCGTGTAAGACTACTTTGTGTAAAGCCTAGAATTACAAATCTTTATTGTATTACATAGTATTGCACCAATTCAAAGGTAGGAGAAATATTTGTAACTGTAAACTCTCAAAATGTTTTTAATAATAATTGCTTACACTTATATGTGCTTTTCTGGACATTCCACTCAAAGCTCCCCTCCACCACCACCACCAATGTGCAGCATCCACCTGGATGATGCGACGGCAGCCATAGTGCGCCAGAACGCTCACCACACATCAGCTATCAGTGGGGAGGAGAGCAGAGTAATGTAGCCAATTCATAGAGGGGGATTATTAGGAGGCAATGAGTGGTAAGGGCCAATGGGAAATTTGGCCAGGACACCGGGGTTACACCCCTACTCTTTTCGAGAAGCGCCCTGGGATTTTTAACGACCACAGAGAGTCAGGACCTTGGTTTTACGTCTCATCCGAAGGACGGCGCCTGCTTACAGTATAGTGTCCCCGTCACTATACTGGGGCATTAGGACCCACATGGACCGCAGGGTGAGCGCTCTCTGCTGGCCCCACTAACACCTCTTCCAGCAGCAACCTTAGTTTTTCCCAGAAGGTCTCCCATCCAGGTACTGACCAGGCTCACACCTGTTTAGCTTCAGTGGGTTGCCAGTTGTGAGTTGCAGGGTGATATGGCTGCTGGTCACCCTGCAACTCACAGGTGGACAGTTAGTGGACTGTCCTCAAAAAACTCATAACACTGTACTGATAGTAGGGATAAGGTTCAGTTTTTTTAGAAATCATGTTCAGTTATTAATTTGCAGTATATTGCACTATTGATAGAGGCAGTCTGTCTGTCTGTTATTTTTTACTTAGTTTTATTCTCTATATTTCTTCATGGACCAGCAGCAGCAACCAATACACTGTTGCGCTAGACAAAGATGACTTCGCAATTTTCCATGCTTCCTGAAACTTAGTTGAACTGACAATGGCTATAACAAATGTCTGATTAATATTGCAAAACCTGAGGGGTGTGGGTGCAATATAGTGGAAAGAATATATAAAGAAAATAGGCAGATTATGATTCCAGATGTGTAATGTGATTTTTTTAAATTTATATCAAATGTATTTTAAGGTACAGCACCACAAGGCATACCAAATCAAAGTTGCACTTTTTAAAGAACACCAGCAACACCGTCCACTTTCAATATTGCAAGACCACGCTTGAAAATTCCAGATTCCTTTAGAAAAGAGATGACAAGAAAGAGGTAAAAAGATAATGTAGTAAGACGTTACCTATCTTTGCATGAAGTGTAATATCCTTCAGAGCATTTAAGATGTGTTCTCCGAGTGTTTTTACATTTTTCAAGTCATCTTTCATGGAGTAGGAGAGGTCCATGAGGTAATACAGATCCACTGGGTAGCCTTGTGCTCTCTTAAATACGGCAGAGAAAGTGTTTGACCTGCCTAGAATGACAAAAATTCACATTTCAATGTTCAAAACACTTTCCAGATTGTCGTACTGAATGTACATGAACCAATTAATTGTTTCTTTATATTAATTCACGATAAAAGGATATATCAATATCTATATATACTGTATATATAGAACAACTGTATTCACAAGGCCTACACAAGGCTGTGATGGAGGACAAGGAACAAGGCCAGCAAAGAACAGGGGGCCAATATGCTCTCTTATCCCCACAAGTATATAAGATAAAAACAATTAAATATCTAAGCCAAGCAAAGTAGTCTACAAAGAAGAACATCAACAAAGTCCCCTAAGACTGTACTTTGAAAATACCCATGCAGCTCAGATCCAAATGAGGTACTGTAGGTTGGTCAGGCCCACTCTCAGAAGCAAAAATTGGTATTCCCATCAGGCAGTTAGCTTGATTTCTTTTCATCCTAACACAGCTGTGCAGTCAGTGTAGGAGACACTATTGGAGGCTTTGAACGGTTGACGCAAATTTTTTGTTAAATTTTACATCGTAGTATATCCATTAGATAAATATACATTTACTTATTAAAAAAGACTAAAGCAAGGAAAAAAGCACTAACCAGGTCGTAGCACCATTTTGACTTCCTGAGGTGCGAGCTGAACAGGAGATTTTCCATTGTTTAGAGAAATGTTCTTTTCCAGAGTGTGGTAACTATTAGGATTGACAGTGTCTGTACTGTGACAGCCTAACTTCTCTAGTGCTTCTTTGGTGTCACAACGTGCTGAGTCTGGCTCTCCGGGTTTGGTGAAATTCTGTTGGAGAAAAAAAGCATTGCACTTCTGCAGCTTTCAAAATCAGCGTTTTGGCTTGGCAATAAACATGACAAAAGGATTAGAAAACACTGCTTGACAAACCTTATAACATGTTAGGCAAATTACTTCTCAGATGTATTTTAAACAAGAAACAACAGAAATGGACACAGAGCACATGATATGGTCAATTTAGATTTTCCGCAGGCTGAAGAAGGTGTGTGTTTTAATCGTTACAAAAACATTTGGTGGAATTTAAACAAATTTTCTTCATTTCCAAATGGGCTATGAGCTAAGATAATTAAACATACCTAAATGATTAGAAAATAGAGATGTTTTTTAAACAGAACTGTCCATTTTTTAATTATTGCAGCTGGGTTTTTAAATGTGCTTTTTAGTTTTCAGAATTGTTTTATTTACATTGGGGGGTGGGGTGGGCCTGCTTCAGTACTGACCCAGTACTGCCTGTAGTAAAGAGACTGGGATCTATCTACATTGTATTTACCAGTTTCTTACACCACACACAAAAGGCTCCCGAGGTTATGCAGTCATTACAGTCCTTCACATCAGTTTTGGTGCACACCTCGGAGAAAACTAAAAAAAGGTAAAAAAGAAATTAACATTTTATAACCATAATTGCTTCTAACAGTATAATGAACAAAAAAGTCTATAGTCAAAAACTCACCAGAAAATACTCAAACCATCTTTTTATTCTTCTTATGTGGACCCAAACAAAACATTAGATTATTAACTTGTACATGCTGTGCAGCACTTTCTGAAACAATTGTTGTGAAACCCCAAATCACTGCAGTAGAATAACTATAGCAAAAAGAGTATACCTGTGTAGTAGAAAATTATATTATTTGAAGAATGTTAATTTTAAATCCAAGTAACTTGGGTTACTAAGAAATGTCTCAGTTGTTTAAAATCCAACACACTGAAGTATTAATTAAAATAGAAAGTTTACCCAGAGACATCTTATTAGAAAAAAAAATATTGTTATGCAGAGTTTAAATAATTTTTATGGTTTGAATGTAAAGTTTTTTTTGTGAAGACCAAGTCAACATCTGGAATTTATCAAAAAAAGTTCGACATCTGCACTGTCATTATTTGCAGGAAGGCTAAATGGATTTTATGAATTTCACAATTAATTTAAAAAGTGTCCATTCTTTGCAACAAATTAGGCTTTGGCTCTAACTGACACCACTTGCCCTCTCCTTCTGGCCTGGAACATATTTTTAGGGGACAGACACACAAAAAGTGACATTTCTTGACATATTCCTGTTAACTACAGTAAATATTTTGAACTTCTTATAAGTTAAGATTAGTTCTACTTCTAATGTATTCTACAGGAAGCTTCCTTAATTTATACATGTACAAGTGTGTATGAACATTTTTTCAAATCATTCTTGCACTCACCAACATCCCTAAACAGCACTGCTGAAACAAGAAACAGGAAACTGAGGTATCGACACATTTCCTGTCAAACAAAAAGCAGAAATATTTAGGCAATATAAAGAAATACACTCTGTAATTTTTCAAATTTGTTTTCGTTATATGCTAATATGTGATTTGAAACATACCATACTCATTTTTTAAAGAGCTAAATTTTTTATTGCACCTGAGACATGTCTTTCTAGGTGAAACATCAGTCTTTACAATCCGTGTTAGTCAGCCAAAGCTGAAAATAAACAAAAAACGGAGGACAAAATGGAGGACTTCAGTATGTCCAGCAAAATAGAGGGCGAAGAGGTGTGTTTTGAAGGTTTTCAGTGTAAAGCACTTACTTGTTGGCCAATGGTTCATTTTGAACTGCAGTATTAACGGCGCACACACCACTTAACAGTTAGTGCTTCAAATAGTAGTTTCATGAAATGCAACAACAAGGCACAATACCACAAAACCAATGTTAGATTGAAAGTTATTGACATCTTGTAAATACTTTAGAATGTCTCGCTTTTTCAGAATGGTTACGAAAAACTTCTAAAGAAAAAATATTCTTTAATATTTTGTTGCATCTTAGGGGGGAGGTATCCAGAGGTTTAAATTTCCTAACAGAGTACCTTGCTATTTAAAAGTAAAACAATGAGCAGCCTTGGAATGAACAGCATACTTAGCTGTCATTCGTGAAGCAGTAAACTTGGCTGCACATTTATTCTGATTATCAACTGGGACAAAACCAAAATTGAAGTTAAATCAGTATGTCAGCTTTCACCGGGAATGAGACAGCAGCAAAGTAGGTAGAGGCAACTACAGTAGGTAGAGGCAAATGGAGCCAGAGAAGTAAAGCAACAGAAGTGAAAGCAGAACAAATCAGCTCTGACAGAGTTTCTGTCTTCGTAGACCAGGACTATAGAACTTCCTGGTAATTTGAACACAATAAGGCCTCTGGGTCTTAAACATGGGACTGTTGTATTATTATTGAAATGTTTATGTGAAAATACTGATTTCCAATTTGAGGTAGCCACCAGCTTAACAACAATCTCACATTTTGTTTCCCTGTGCTATTTTGAACAGGGAAATAGATTCCTAATTAGTAACAAGCATTTAAAAGAGACAGTAGTCCTGTGAGGGAATGTTTGTTTGAGAAGACTTTGGTTCCCTTTTTTCCTTGTATTTTTACTTGTACATTATTTTCCTGGGGAATTTATTCCCCAGTTGCCCAGTAGAGTATTCCCATGTCTATAGAAGGCAGGGCACTGATTTTAACAGGCCTGTAATACTTGAATATAACTGTTTATCTTGTTTGCGTACTTGTTTAATGTTGTTTCTTTTTAAGCATGTAGGCTGGTTATTACTTTGTTACTACTTACAGTACATTCCTGATAAAGAAAGGAAGCACAAGGCCTATATTTCCTTTCTATAGAGGGTATGAAATTTCATCCATCTGTTTTCTAACCACTTCATCCAATACAGGGGAGCTGGTGCCTATCCTGGCAAGCAGTAGGCACAAAGCAAAATAAACTTTGGGTGGTACAAAAGCCCATCGCAAGGCACACCCAGACACAAACACTCACACCAGGGCCCTAGAAGCCAATTAATCTACCAGTATCTCTTTGGACTGTAGGAGGAAAGTGAAAAACCTGGATGGAACCCACATGAACACTGGAAGAACATACAAACTCCACACAGCTAATACCACAGGTCCAGAACTGAACCTAGAACACTAATGCTACAAGGCAGCAATAATAAACACTGTGCCACTATGCCTCTGGGGGGTGTTAATTTGAATATTTAAGTTGGTGTTGGCACCTGAAATTGATTTTGATTTTATCTGTTTAATCTATTACAATATACAGCATACGGTGCAATGTGCACCTGTAAATATATACAGTATGTTAGCACACAACAAATGTTTCTAAATCTAACAGGTCTCACATTTGCAAAATGAGACCTTTTCAGGAAGTCCAGTGAGGTCCCCTGTGTAGATACAGTCCTTACTGTATTTTGTGAAAGCTTACATGTAACAAATCAAAGACTTTGAACTGCCTGACTTTTCTTGAATTCTGTTTGTTTCTTGTAATATAAAATTCTGCTCAATACATTTCTTCCTAGATGCACAGTAATTCCTGTATTTGATCATCTTAATGCTGATTTAATATTCCATCTGTTCTGAACAGATGATCAATATCAGTCTTTTATACAGTCTTATCCATTATAATATAATGTAGGGTCCTTTCTAATCCTTTTCTTGTTGATTGCTCTCATGGCATACTAAAGTCATCATCAACAAAAAATAAACAATGATTTCCCTGTTGTTGCAGTTTTCTAGGATCATTTACATTGGTGTGATTCCATATAAACACAACATGACAACAGTAGAAGTACAGTAATGAAGTGTTCCTTACTTCAGTAGAACTACACAGAAATATCCTCCTTATATGTTTATGTAGTGCTAGGTTTTACTGATGCAACTGTGATACAGGTTCAAGAATTTGAGCTAACAGTTCTAGTCTGATAGCTTTAAATGGTACTGATTATTTTTGGTATTAGTGTCAAGGCATGTGCTGCGAGAGTTATTTATATATAATATATGACATGCTAGCACTTAATATATCATGGGTG